ATTACTGCTACAGAGAAAAATAGAACAAGGTAAGGGGAAATCGGGCTTCCCAGGTGTCGACAGGGGTTAAGAACCCGCCTGCCAATGCAGGTAGACATAAGAGACGCAGGTTTGATCCCTGGGTCTAGAAGATCCCCTGGAGTAGGAAATGGCAACCCACTCCAGTATTCTTGCCTGGAGAATTCCATGGGCAGAGAAGCCTGGTGGGCTACAGTCCATGGGTCCTCAAAGAGCCTGACACAGCTTAAGTGACTTAGCACGCACAAAGAGAAATCTGTGGGGGAAGACTGCATTTTTAGATAGTCTGGTTATGGAAGGCCCTCCTGAGAAGGTGTTGCTCCAGCCAAGGTATTTAACACAAAATGCCTTTATCGCCTTATCCCAAATTATGTATCACATATCCTGTCCTCAAATCCTTCAAATTTGCTCATCTGATAAAGATCTATTGAGTGCATACTAAGTGCAGGGCTCCGGGAACACAGCAAAGAGACTCAGTTCAGTTCAGTCACTCAGTCATGTCTGATTCTTTGTGACCCCATGGACTACAGCATGCCAGCCTTTTCTGTCCTTCTCCATCTCCCAGGGCTTTTCAATTCATATTCACTGAGTTGGTGGGACCATCCAACCATCTTGTCCTCTGTCATCCCCTTCTCCTGCCTTCAATCTTTCCCAGCATCAGGGTCTTTTCCAATGAGTCAGTTCTTCGCATCAGGTGGTCAAAGTATTGGAGCTTCAGCATCAGTCCTTCCAATGAATATTCAGGACTGATTTCCTTTAGGATTGACTGGTTTGATCTCCTACTCCCCTTGCAATGGTCAAGAGAACTCTTCCATTACATCTTTTCCTTCCGATTTATCATTTGCCTCTCTCTGAGAGATCTTCCCTGATACCCCATGTAGAGTAGTCAAGGAATAATTCTCTGAGGAGGTGACCTGTGAAAAGTGAGGAAGCAAACCATGTATATTTAACATGGGGGGAAGCATAAGATAGAGGGAATGTCAGGTGCAAAGCATTGAGGTTGGAAGTTCTTGAAGTGTGTGTAGCTGGTGAGGAGTGAGGAAGGGAGAGCACTGGGAGATGAGATCCAAGGCCATGTCAAGCAAATCCTTGTAAGTCAGGCTGTGTGTTTGGTTAGGTTTTTATTCTAAGACCTGTGGGAAGCCATAAAAGGATTCCATGTAGGGAAGTCACATTATATAAATTATATTTTAGAATAAACAGTCTGGCTGCTCTGTGTGGAAGGAGAAAAAACTGTTGGGGGTGTGGGCAGAGAGAGAAAGCAGAAAAGCCAGCAGGAAAGCTACTGCTAGAGTCCAGGAAGAGATGAGAGAGTGTCAGGCCAAGGGGGGTGTGGGTGTGGGGAATCGATTTTTCAATTGATTTTGAAGGTAAAGACACTAGGATTTGCTGAGAAATCAGATACAGGGCATGAAAACTAGAGAGGAGCCCTGGCTGACCCCTGGGTTTTTAGCCTTAGCTGCTGGAAGGATGGTGTTGTCCTTAACTGTCAGGGGAAATACTCCATTAGGAGCAGGCATGGGGCAAAATCAGGAGTTGGTTTTCAAATGTGTTACATTTTCAATGCCTGTTAGATATCCAAGGTCTGGTATATGTCAGTTGAGTGAAAACTTTGGGGACTAGATCTGAGATGCAGGGGTTGGGTTTGGGGGCCATCTTCTTCTCTGAAGAATTGACTGCCTTCAAGTGGATCAGTAGGAGTAATTGAGACAGGATTTGGACTTTCCCAAGTGAGAGGGAAGGGCACTGTAGTCAGAGGGAACAGCTTCGACAAAAGCCTGAGAAAGTAAGAAGGCAGGGAGAGAGAGAGAAGCGGGGGCGAGAGGAGGACCATCCACTCGGCCACAGCCACGTACGAGAGAGCAGCTGCTTTACTGCCTCACTGAGCAGACTGTCAAACCTTTGGATGTTTGCCAATCTGGTGTAATTCTAATATGAGTTTCTCTTACTAGGCATGAACTTGGGCATCTTTTCATAGACTTAAAGGTATTTGTCCTTCTTCTGGGAGTTTTCTGTTTGAATCCTTTATCCATTTTCTATGGGGTTGTTGTATTTCTTATGGATTTTTAGGGACTATATATTAGCCTCTTGAAAAATGGAGTCTTGAGGATGAGAGTGATTTGAAAAGTTGTGGTGTGTATATTTATTCGTGCTTCCAAGGTCCAGTATGTGCTAAACCCCGTTCAAGGCATTTCAGGCACAGTGGTGAGCAAGACACACCAAAGTCCCTTCCCTCATGACAGCTTTCATTCTAGTCAAGGAAACAAATAATGTAGGGGAAAAAAAACATATAGTATATTAGAAATTGAGAAATGTTATGGAGAAAAAGAATACAAGGAATAGGGCATAGGGAATATTGACAGGACAGAGTTTGGAACCTTAAATGGGGTAGCCAGGAGTGACATTTGAAAATTCAAATGGGATATCTCCTTCAGTCTGGAACAGTTCTTTGGTCTTCCCTTGACCTTCATGACACTGACACTATTGAAGATTATAAGCCAGGAGTTTTGTAGACTGTCCCTTAGTTGGACTTACTCTGACATTTCCTTGTGGTTAGATTCAGGTTCTGCATATTGTCTAGGAGTATCACAGAAGCAAAGCTGTCTCCTCATTTCATCCCATTTGACGGCTCAGGATTTTAATACTGCTTTATTGACTACACCAAAGTCTTTGACTGCGTGGATCATAACAAACTGTGGAATATTCTTAAAGAACGGGAATACCAGACCACCTTACCTGCTTCCTGAGAAATCGGTATGCAGGTCAAGAAGCAACAGTTAGAACTGGACATGGGACAATGGGCTGGCTTAAAATTGGGAAAGTAGTATGACAGGTCTGTATATTGTCACCCTGTTTATTTAACTTATATGCAGGGTACATCATGTGAAGTGCCGGCCTGGGTGAAGCACAAGCTGGAATCAAGATCACCAGGAGAAATATCAGTAACCTCAGATATGCAGATGACACCACCCTCATGGCAGAAAATGAAGAAGAACTAAAGAGCCTCTTGATGAAAGTGAAAGAGGAAAGTGAAAAAGCTGGCTTAAAACTCAACATTCAAAAAATAAAGATCATGGCATCCAGTCCCATCACCTCATGGCAAACAGATGGAGAAACAGTGACAAATTTTATTTTCTTGGGCGCCAAAATCACTATAGACGGTGACTGCAGTCATGAAATTAAAAGACACTTGCTCCTTGGGAGAAAAACTATGAGAAACCTAGACAGCAAATTAAAAAGCAGAGACATTATTTTATGGACAAAGGTCCGTATAGTCAAAGCTATGGTTTTTCCAGTAGTCACGTATGGATGTGAGAGTTGGACCATAAAGTAAGCTGAGCGCTGAGGAACTGATGCTTTTAAACTGTGGTGTTGAAGAAGACTCTTGTATTGCAAGGAGATCCTACCAGTCAATCCTAAAGGAAATCAGTCCTGAATATTCATTGGAAGGACTGATGCTGAAGCTGAAACTTCAATATTTTGGCCACCTGAGGTGAAGAAATGACTCATTGGAAAAGCCCCTGATGCTGGGAAATTTTGAAGGCGGGAGAAGGGGCCGACAGAGGATGAGATGGTTGGATGGCATCACCGACTGGATGGACATGAATTTGAGCAAGCTCCGGGAGTTGGTGGTGGACAAGGAAGCCTGGTGTGCTGCAGTTCGTGGAGTTGCAGAGTTGGACACCACTGAGTGACTGAACTGGATGTTCACTTTTTCCCCTTCATTAAGATGGTATCTGTCAAGTTTCTCTACTGTAGAGATACTATTTTCCGGCTTGAAACTTTGGATCTATGTAAATATCCTGTTTACGTCAAAGTATAACCACTGGCTTTAGCACCCAGAGATCTAACACATTAGCTGAACATCATTACTGTACCAATTATTAGTTGACATTCTACTGTAAAGGAGATATTTCTCTTCTCCATGTATTTATCTTTAATTTCTGTAAGTATGGATTTATGGATTCTTGAACTGTATCAAATGCTATTTCTGTGGTTGTTGTTTACTTTTAGTCTGTTTATGTAGTGATATATATATATATGTATATATATATATATATTTTCTATTGTTGACCCAATTTTGCATTCCTGAGATAGAGTATTTGATTAAAACATATTTGCTAAATATACTATTGGATTCATTTAGCTAAGATTTTATTAAGGATTTTTACATCTACAGGTATAAGTGGGTTGAAATGTTTTCTTGTATTATCTCATCTGTTTTGGGGATCAAGATGACACCAGTCTCATAAAATAGACAGCTTTAGTTCTTTTCTCTTATATCTAGAACAACTTTGTATGAGATAGCGATTAACTATTCCTTGGGAGTTTAGTAGATTGCACCTATAAAAAACCATCTGGGTTCTTTTTTTGGTGAGGGGAGGGAAGATTTCAACTACCATTTCAACTTCTTTACTACTTTGCTCTATTCAAGTAATCTGTTTCTTCACGGAACAGTTTTGGCATTTTGTATCCCTCTATGAATGTATTTTCAAATACACTTTCTCTGTTGCATCTGTAGTGAATTCCCCACTCTGGTTTGTATTTTGTATTTGGTTTGTTTGCTTCTGGTTTGTATTTTGTATTTGGTTTTTTGCTTCTTTTTTGTTTGTTTTGTTTGCTTCTTTCTTAATTGATCAGTCTTGCCAGAGAGAGGTCTGCTTTTCCTCTTAATTTTTGTTTCAAAGATTCCACTCTTGATTTTATTTTTTTTAAATATGGAACGCTTCATCCTTGTGCAGGGGCCATGCTAATCTTCTCTGTATCGTTCACAATTTTAGTATATGTGCTGCCGAAGCGAGCACCCACTCTTGATTTTATTAACCTGTTGTTTCCCTCCCTACTTCATTTATTTCTGCTCTTCTATTATTTCCTTTCCTGTTGCTGAGGTTTGCTCTGGGGGTCTTTTTCCAACTTCTTGTATAATTGATATGACAAAATGCCCAGATTTTAATTATTTAAGAAAATAAATACAAATGTAAGCTGTTTTACTAATTGCTTTATAACCACAAACTAGTACAGAGAATGCCCTGTACAAAACACAATAAAGGTTCAAAGATGGAGGTGTTCCCTTAGGCAAGGCTGAAGACTTCAATCTCTGGTATTTGGAATTTAGGCTGCAGTCCTTGTTTTTGGATGGACCACTGGATGTGTGGCACAGTCCATGCTTTTAACCAGATTTGAACACAAGAATGGCCACTTGGCCCAGGTAGAAGTAGATGAAGTGTTTGGTTTCATGCGTCACATAACTACCGAAGTTCCTCCCCATGATGCAGTGCCAGGTGGGGTTGTACTTGTCAAACTCCTTCTTGATATGGGCCACAATGTCCTTCTCTATATTATACTTCTCCAATGCACACTCCACCAAGTCCTGTTGTATCTCCTCCGACATACCAGCATTCTTGATTACAGCCTTTTGGTCACACATGGTTACCAGGGAGCAGGGGCTGGCCGACTGCAACGGTCTCCTGCAGGAGGGGCTGGCAAAGCTCACACCCGCGTAGAGAAGTGGTCGCTACTGAAGCCATGGCACATCTCCCAGATTTTAATTATACAGCTTATTGAATGTATACATAGTTATACACCCATGTGACCAGTACCCCAGTCAAAATACAGAACATTTCATTTTTCTAGAAAGCTGCTTTGCAACCCTTTCCAGTAAATCCAGAAAATCTCTATCACCACAAATGTGCTGATTGAGAACTTGATACAAACAGAATAGTAAACAATGTACTTCTTTAATGTCTTTATTCACTCAACATTTGTAGTTCATTTGTGTTGATTTTTGTAACATTTGTAGTTCATTTGTGTTGATTTTTGTATCAGTGATTTTGTTATTTTTTATTGCCAGGTTGTATTCTATGAATATACCATAGTTTATCCATTTTCCTCTTGCTGGATGTTTGGGTTGTTCCCATTTTGTGGTTATTCTGAACACAGCTGCTGTGAATACATGTAACAAGTCCTTCTGTTGACATGTTTACATTTATTTGGAATAAACATCTAAGAATGGAATTTCTTGTTCACAGGGTAACCTTATGTGTACCTTTGTATGAAACAGCCATATTTCCAGAGTGGCTGTACCACTGACTATTGCCAGCCATGTATGAGGCTTCCTCAACATGGGATTCCTGGGAGTTACACTCTGGGGAACTGCAACAGGGAAGGGAACATGGGGGTGTCTCCAGATTGAAAGCCACCCTTTCATGTGGCCTCTTTCTGTTCCTATTTCCTCTTCCTTTCCCACTGGGTCAACACCATTCCCCCCCCCCCCCCACCGATCAGCACCATCCCACTTCTAGGGGGCCCCATGTTGCTCACCTGTCCCTGCCACTGGTGCAGGGTGATGTCTCAATGCAGACTATTAACTGGGAGAGGGGCTTTGAGTCAATTGCTCTTCCTACACCACCTCCCTTCCTGTCTCACAAGCTTGTATGTTTCAGGGAGGGGCGGTTCCTGGCCCTGTTGCACAGCCCAGCCCCCTAAAGCCCAGCTTTGTGTTCTGCTGCACTCAGACCTGTGCTGAGAGCACACACATGTATTTGTGAATCACAGGGTGTAGATTGGTTAGCGTGACCGGAGCAGTAAGGCACTGTGGTAAAAGCCATGGAGAAGACTGGGACGAGGGTGGGCCCAAATGGTGGGGCATCCCTAGGGCCTGGTTTGGCAGGTTGACTTCTCTATCTCCATGCCTCTGGGGTCATCAGCCTGTTGAGAGCACAGGGCCCGCTGGTGCCAGAGTGCCCATCATCATTCACTTAGAAATGCCCTCAAGCACTGTCCCCAGACCTAGGGAGGGCCAAGTACAGTTTAGCCTCATGACTATACAGCAAGTGTAGCTGTGTGGTGGCGAGGCCAGGGGGTGGGGGTTCCTCGTCGTATCTCTGATCCCGAGCGACAAGCCCAACAGTGCCCTGGTGGTGCTTGACTTCCTGGTACAGTCTAACCTGCTGGACCTGAAATGGTGAGGTGCTGTGACCAGGATCTTGCATGTTGGGGCACAGGCCAGAACACCATGTCCTGCTCCCAACCCTCACCAAGCTGGGAGCTACCATGAAAAACATTGTGAATGCCACCACTGCCACCCACCTCAGCCTGACAAAGCCTTGTCTATCTGTGTTTATGTCCCATGTCTGCATGGGCCACAGACCACTCTGGGACATGAGAAAGAGACACAAGTTGCGGACTTTTCAGCTTTTATTACAAAAACGAGGAAGTGATTCCAGCCCAGTTTTCCAATAAAAGTCTGCAACTCAAAGTTTGACTTGGTCACAGCTTCTCTGGCTGGGGAGTAGGGCTGGTAGACAGGTGCAAGGCTTAGCTTTGACCACTCAACATTTCATTTTCCCCCACCCCACGCTGGACACCTGATGGCAAGTTTAAGTAGGTCTTGCAGCTGCTCACTGGGCCTCGTTGAAGCGCGTCACCATTGTCTTGTGCAGCGTCTCCTTGTAGGACTCAGTTGATGTGACCCCATAGGAGCTGCCTCGGGCACCCAAGCCAGAGCCCCGCACCCGTGTCTGGGCCTGTGTGAGGAAAGCAGACTCTGTTAGTCAGCCAAGGCTACAGTGGAGAGCACTGGAGGACGGGGATGGGATCCCAGCAGGCTCACCTCAATGGGAGTCACAATGCCCTGCTTCTTGCGGCCCAGGCCACTGCCCTCTTTCCAGCCCATGGCTTGGAGCATGCGACTGCCAATGTTGTCACTGCCCAGCCCATCCCGCGTGGGCTGCTCAAAGTCCCTGTAGGGGACAGGGGCACAGTGTGAGCGGCAGATCTGCTGGACCCATGCCCCCCACCTGGCCCTGGGCACTTACACGGAGGCCGCGGACATGCCACTGTACTTTCTCCTCTTGGGCTCTGGTGGCTCAGGGATGCCATACTTCTCTCTGCGTTCAGCTGCGCGGTCCCGGTACTTCATTTGCTGCAACAGTGTATGTGTGTGAGAATGAAGGGGCTGACAGCTCTTTACAGGAAACATGGGCACAGCTGGGGTGGGGGGGCCCACAGGGAATGAGATCTGGCCAACAGGTCTGAGGTCCTGTAGCTGCCAGTCGCCCGCCAACATGGGGTAGTTGGGAAGAAGCTGGCACATGGGGACAGATGTGAGGTGGCTGATGGCAGCCAGACTGTAACTAGCTGAGGAACTTGCCCACACCAGTTGCCTGCATGACAGATGGGGTGCTTGGCAAGGGACCAACGGATGGAGCCGGGGAGTGGGTCACACCTCACCTCCATGTCATTCTTCTCAAGTGCCTCCAGCTCATTTTCTGACAGGTGGGCTCGCCGGTGAATCTCAAGGTTTTGCTGCAAAGGAGGACAGGAGGAGAGTGAAGTGGTCGGGCCAGGCCAGGCTGGGGTTCCCTGCCAGGCTTCCCTCAGTCACCTTGTGGAGCCCAGAGAGCTGCTGGTGCCGGATGAGTGCTTCCTTGCTGGGGAACTGGCGCCGGCAGAGCAGACAGGCCAGCTTCTGCCAGTCGGTGAGCTTCTCCTCCCGCTCTGGGCCCCCGCGTTCCTGCTCCTCCTCACTGTCACTCTCCCCGCTGTAGGCTGCCACCAGCCCCCTAGGTGGGCTCTGGAAAAGGGGAAGGCAAGAGGTCAGGATTGACTAGTTCACAGCCCCCCGCCCTTCTTTCTGCCCCAGGCACTCACTGGGCGGTCATCGCTGGCCAGTTTTGGGAGGTCCATGCTGGTGTGCTGTCTCTCGGCTAGTGCTCCCTGGGGCGGAAAAGTGGAAGTGTTAGTTGCTCTGTCATGTCTGACTCTTTGTAACGCCATGGACTGTAGCCTGCCAGGCTCCTCTGTCCATGGGATTCTCCAGGCAAGAATACTGGAGTGGATTGCCATGCCCTCCTCTAGGGGATCTTCCCGACCCAGGGATGGAACCCGTGCCTCCTGCGTTGCAGGCAGATGCTTTACCATCTGAAGCACCAGGGGTGGAGGAATAAGGAAATTCAGGGACTCCACAGAAGGACCAAAGGGATGACAATCCTGGGGACAGAGCACAGATGGACGGCCACAACACACCTTCTTCTCGAGGATGGCGTAGCCTGCATCTGCCGTGGCTGACTCCCGCCTTTCATCATCTCGCAAGTTGCTGATGGGCTGGAAGCTGTTTTTGAAGTTTTCTTTTTGTTTGTTGAGGCTGCGGGCCCAGCGTTCCATGTCCTTGGCAATCTAGGGATGAGGGTGGTGGGGGGTTGAGGCTCCTAGGAATCTTCCAACTGCTGGGGTCACCAACTCCAACCACTGCCCTTGTAGCAGCCCACCCCTTCCTGCCCTGCAGCCTCAAGCGGAAGGAAAGAGAGGCAGAGGTTAAAATCCCCATTTCTCTGCCATCCTGTCATTGGTGCTCCTCAGCAAGCCCCTCCCTGGCTATGTCCCTATTCTCCTCACAGGCGTCCATGCTACTAGGGTCACTGTGAGTTTTCATCATTCTGAAATGCATAGAATGGCTTGCTCTGCATACAATTTTAATTAACAGGTATGATTCTATGCCAGGTATGATTCTACGTATTAATGCCCAATCCCCACCCAGGCACACCATCAGTTTTAGAATTTACCGGGCTGTCAAGGGAACACGAAATTCTTGCTTCTAAGTGTTGCACCCAGACCGTCACACTCTTCCTCAGACAAGACATGGAGGTTCCCTCCAACTGCCCACCACCACAGAACACTGCGATGGCTGTTTTCCTGCCCACCCCCTGATGAGCCTGTAAGAAGTTCTCTGGCATGTGTATACACAGACAAATGAATACACACCATCAGGTGGGGTTCTGGACCCACAGGAGCAGACTTGTGCCTCTGTTTCCCTAGGCAGGGTTAGCCTGGCTTCAGGTGTGCCCAGACCAGCCCACACTGTCACCAACAGCACAAAGGTTCCCACCAGGAGACAGGAAAGTGGATAGGCTGCACTTGGATGGCAGTGGCCGCATCAGGAAGGTGGGCAGCCCCGCCATGTACCAAGGAGACAGCCCTAGCTCAAGGTCACACAGCACAGAGCAGAGCCAGACTGGGAGCCGGGTCTCTCTCAAGCACAGATACTGCCCAGAAGACACCTAACGGACAGACAGTGACTGCTGGACTCCCAGTGTTCACCTGTTGAGCTGTCTTGGTCTTGTGCTTTTCCTTCTTCTCTTTGCCCTCCTTGGAGGGTGCCCCTGTCTCCTTATGCCCGTCAGCTGACTGCTCCAGGGCAGGAACGTAGGTCCGCCTCTCCCCATCCCAGTATAGGTACTGCTGGCTCTGGGCATTGTAGTAGTACTGGGGGTGATGGGGGAGAAGGGGTGTGAGGGAGGACTGAGACGATGGGGCTGCAGACTCCACCCCCTCCCCAGGCTGCCCCATCACCTGAGAGTTGGGATCATAGTAGAGGCCGGTTTGGGGGTCGTAGTAGTAGCCAGATGTCTCATCGTACTGGTAGGTGGA